TGTTTCTTATTGCCTATAGTTTAAATAACAGCTGGGCAAAGAGTAGAAATACTGACATTTATGATTGCAGCAATAATAAAAATAATGAGAAGTATAAAAATGAAGATTAGAAAGCGAACATAAGTATAAAGTAATAAATAATAGTTAACATCTATAAAAGACTTATCATTTGCCAGAAACTATAACTATTTTTTAATGTTGATTTTGATAAATCCTCACAGGGACATATTGTTATTATTGTTAAGTTGCTGAGTCATGTCTGACTCTTTCTAACCCCATGGATTGTAGTCTGCCAGGCCCCTCTGTCCATGGGATTTCCCTGGCTATAATATTGAAGTGGGTTGCCATTTCCCCATCCCATACTAACATTTATATAAATGCAATTTTAAAATCAGAAATTTAGGATTTGAAGAGTTTAAGTGGTTCATTCATTATTATATATCTATTAACAAGATTGAGATTTGATTCTGACATGGATATGAATCAAAGAATAAGCATATATTTTGAGTCCCTTCCTAATAGTTATTTTTAAGATAATTATAGGCTTCCCTAGTAGCTCAGCTGGTAAAGAATCTGCTTGCAATGCAAGAGAATCCAGTTGGATTCCTGGGTTGGGAGGATCCACTGGAGTAGGGATAGGCTACCACTTCAGTATACTTGGATCTCCCCGGTGGCTCAGCTGGTTAAGACTCTGCCTGCAATGCAGGAGACCTGGGTTCAATTCATGGGTTGGGATGATTCCCTGGAGAAGGGAAAGGCTACCTACTCCAGTATTCTGCCCTGGAGAATTCCATGGACGGTATAGTGCAGAGGGTCGCAAAGAATCAGACACGACTGAGTGGACTTACACTTCACATCATGATAGACAAAAAGTTGTTAAATATATGTTTGTTGGGGTGCGAGATTGTCACTAAATCATCAGTAATTGTGAGTAATGATAAAGTAAGAGATCATAATTTTATTTATTCTTGTAGTTAATGAGCCATAATTAGGTTAAAAAATAGCTTTATTTGAAAGTGAAGTGAAAGTTGCTCATTCGTGTCTGACTCTTTGTGACCTCATGGACTACAGAGTCCATGGAATTCTCCAGGCAAGAATACTGGAGTAGGCAGCCTTTCCCTTCTCCAGGGGATCTTCCCAACCCAGTACTAGAACCCAAGCCTCCCGCATTGCAGGCAGATTCTTTACCAGCTGAGCCACCAGGGAAATGCTATATGTGTTACACACACACACACACACACACACAATCCACACATACAATGAATATATAATTTTGGTATCAGTTCATCTAAGTTCAGTCACACAGTCATGTATACCTCTTTGTGACCCCATAGACTACAGCAGACCATGTTTCCTGGTCCATTACCAACTCCCAGAGTTTACTCAAACTCATGTCCATCGCATCTGTGATGCCATCCAACCATCTCATCCTCTGTCATCCCCTTCGCCTGCCTTCAGTCTTTCCCAGCATCAGCGTCTTTTCGAGTCAGTTCTTGGCATCAGGTGGCCAAAGTATTAGAGTTCCAGCTTCAGCATCAGTTCCTCCAATTAAAATTCAGGACTGACTTCCTTTAGGATGGACTGGTTGGATCTCCTTGCTGTCCAATGGAATCTCAAGAGTCTTCTCCAACACCACAGGTCAAAAGCATCTATTCTTCAGCATCCACCTTTCTTTATAGTCCAACTGTCATATCCATACATGACTACTGGAAAAACCACAGCTTTGAGTAGACAGACCTTTGTTGGTAAAATAATACCTTTACTTTTTAATATGCAGTCTAATTCAGTAATAGCTTTTCTTCCAAGGAGCAAGCGCCTTTTAATTTCATGGCTGCAGTCACCATCTGCAGTGATTTTGGGGCCAAAATAAATAAATAAATAAAGTCTATCACTGTTTCCATTGTTTCCTCATCTATTTGCCATGAAGTGATGAGCCTGGATGCCATGATATTAGTTTTCTGAATGTTGACTTTAAGCCAAATTTTTCACTCTCCTCTTTGACTTTTATCAAGTGTTGTTTAAAATAAACGCTGGGTATAAACATATATTATAATTTTACTGGCATTTCTGACAAACATTCTTTACAATCTATGGGAAATTTTATTTAATGAAATTGTTTAAATTTCATTACCAGTTGAAAGCACAAATGGTAATTGTTTATGGAAATTTTCAAAATAGATATTTTCTTCATGTTTTTAACAATTTCAAACCCCTTAAAAGTAAAAATGGTATACCAATAAATTTGCTTTTTTCCTTAACATGACAGTATGAATTATACCAAGTTGTAATTGACACCTAGACTAAGTTGTATAATCAAATGAGAAGAGAATGACTAAAAGATAGCTCTTTGTAAGAGTGATATTACTTTCCAAAAATGGCTTTTATTTCCCTAAGGTCAACATTGCAATACATATGTGATAAATTTAAAAATAAATTCCATAGATTGAACAAATTGATAATCTATAGTATGTTATAAACTTTAGCCAAACTATCACAGCTATGTTAGAATCATTTTGATAGCACAAAATAATAAAATTATAAATATAAAATATTTTGGCACATACTGTATTTCATAAAGATGATCAATTTATCTTTCTTTTATCAGCAAAATGTATATATCACAAAGATGATGATCACAAATCAGCTTTCCTAGTAGCATTTTTATTGAATTGATGCAATTGAAAAATTCTGTGAAAATTCTCTTATAATTATACTTCAGAACATGTGCTATTTAATATATTTTTTGTGGCTCTAGAAAATGGATCTAAGACAAATATCATTTCTTTAGCCAACATTCATGCTCTCTTAATAATGTGCCCATCTAAGGGTGTTTCACTTTGTCTAGAATCAGATATTTTGCCTTTTGACACAGTCTGTGTATGAGATATAGGCAGATGTGATCTTTTAAAAGGCAAAGTCTTACTGGTATCTTTCATTTTCCTTTGACTTCATTCTCTTTTCTCCTGTGTGGAAGGCAGTTCTAAAGCTGGTCAATTAGAATAAGAATCTCCCATATGGCAAAACAGAAATGTTAAGGAACATGACTCTGAAAGTATAGCTTCTTAACCTGACTTGACAGCTTAATATCTAGCTTTTTGTTACATGAGAGAAAAATACACACACACACACATATGCAAGTGTTTATAGCCTAATATCTATGTTTTCATTCCCTTTGCATCCTGTTAGAAAACATTTCTGAAGCCTCTTACTTCCAATGAGACCTTGTAAATAGTTATTGGAAAATGGTATAAGTGGTGGAGAATATGTGTATATTTCTTATGTATTCTTTTTCTTTGTTTAACATTAAGCACAGTAGGTCAATTAGAATGGCAATTTCTAAAGTTCTTGAGGGACCACAATGAACTCACAGCCACTATAAGATATTAAGATTTTTGAGGCAAGTATAATGATAATGAACACTTATCAGACAGTATAAACTAATACCTCCAGATGTTTCACAGTTTCAATACTAGACCATGCTACAAATTTTATGATGTAGTATATTGAGAAGGTTGTTTTTCCAATTGCTGTGATAAGAAATAAGAATGGATATCAAATTTAAGCTACATGTGAGGAATTGGAAACCATCACTCTCACCCTTACAAAATGAAAAAACCCAACTGAAATATAAATATCTTAATTTTCTTGGACCCATTAGAAATCTTAAGCTGAAGACAAAACTCCAGATCGTTTAATCCGAAGAATGAACATGAAATGTGCTCACCTGGGGCAGAAGTTCGTATAGTCATAACTTGGTAGGACTACTGAAAGGTAGGACTACGTAACGGTAATTTTGATGACTTGATGCAGGCTGAGTGTGGGCTGGTGTGTGTGAGAAGCTGTTGGAGTTGCAGCCTTGGGGGTTTCCCACCTGACTTTGAATTTCTTGGTGACTCAGACCGTAAAGAATCCATCTGCAATTCAGGAGAACCGAGTTTGATCCCTGGGTTGGGAAGATCCCCTCAAGAAGAAAGTGGCAACTGACTCCAGTATTCTTGCCTGGAAAATTCCACAGACAGAGGAGCCTGGCGGGGCCTCAAAGAGTCAAACACAGCTAAGTATCTAAGCACACCTCACTTTGATCAGTTTACATACAGGGATCTCACCAAACCCCACCAAGTCCTTACGATGAAGGTATGAGAATTATGTCATCATGGCTTTGACAGGATGGAGGGAAGTAATTATTGTAAAATATGCCACGTATGCTTTATAACAAAGGCTTATTCACCAGGGGAAAACAATTCTTAATGTATTATTCCAGACTTAGAGGGAAAGACATTCTTCCATTCCATTCCTCTCTATATGGCCTATCTCAACCAATGAGGTAGAGAAAAAGACCATAGCTATACCACAATAGAAACCTTGTAAGTGTCACAGCCAAGAAACCAAGCCCACTAAAAGACACTGAATTAGTTGTAAAGTTATAGAAATCTTCATGTACTTCTTATCTACTTCACTCTCACACCAGCAGGGCTCCAATAAAACAACAGTAGATTACTGCTGAAAGGCTGTAAGATGTGGGGTCTCTCAGAAAAGGAACATTAATATAGCCCAGAGTCAAAAGGAAAGAAAAAAATAATAAAAGAGATTAATTTAAGCCTATGGCACTAAAGCTACAGAAAATATTAAACATTTCCCAGCTGCTAGCTGGATAATGTAATGGTAAACATTACCATTACAATGGTAAACACATTGAAGGCCTACTCAGCAGATCTCCTGCTACCTAATACAAATATATATTTTTTAGCAAAAATCACCATGCATGCTAAAAGAGAAAATAAAACACAGGCCAAAGTAACAGAACAAGTATCAGAACCAGACTCAGAAATCACACATATATTAGGATTATCAAATAAAGGATCTAAAATAACTATGAAATTTTAGAGGACATAAAAAATGTAGATGACAGGTAAAGGCAGATGGGTAATGAAAACAGGTAAATGGAAACTTTAAGAAAAAATTGAAAGGAAATTCAAGAAATTAAAGGTCTTGTAACAGAAATGAAGATAGCCTTCCGTGGATCCATCAGTAAAATAGACACAGCCAAGAAAAGAATCTGTAAGCTTGAAGATGAATCAGTAGAAAATTCTACAACAGAAGTAAAAGGCAAAAACAAAGAAAATATTAATAAAAATGAACATAAGGACTTTCCTGGTGGCACAGTGAATAAGAATTCATCTGCTAATGTAGTAGACACAGAGTCAATCCCTGCTCCATGGTGATTTCCCATGCAGCAAATTAACTAAACTTGTGGGCTACAATTTCTGAGCCTGCACTCTAGGGCCTGTGAGTCACAACTACTGAGCCTGTGTGTTGCAACTACTGAAGTCTGCATGCCTAGAGCCTGTGTTTTCAACAGGCTAAGCCACTGCAATGAGAAACCTGCACATGGCAACAAGCAGTAGCACCTGCTTGCTACAACTAGAGAAAGCCCATGTGTAGGGACAAAGATCAAGTGCAACCAAAAAAAAAAAAAAAGGAAATAAAAAACCAGAAAATTTAAAAATTGTAGTTCAAATACCAAAGTTCTGGTACTTGGTATTAGTTCAAATACCAAAGAAACATGCTTAAACTGGAATATTAGACAGAGAACAGAGAAAAGAACAGAAAAGTGATTTGATGTAATAATGGTTCATATGTGCAAGCTAAGTTGTGTGACTCATGCCCGACTCTTTGTGACCCTATGGACTGTAGCCCACCAACCTCCTCTGTGCATGGGATTCTCCAGGCAAGAATACTGGAGTGAATTTCCAAGCCCTGCTCCAGGGGATCTTCTTCAGCTAGGGATCAAACATGTATCTCTTAGAGCTCCTGCAGTGGCAGGCAGGTTCTTTACAACTACCATCACCTGGGAAGCCCAATAATGGTTCAGTACTTTCCAAAATAATTAAAGATATTAAACACAATTCTGAGAAGTTCAGTAACACAGAGAAAAATTATAGAAAACAAAAACCAAACAAATTAAAAAATCTTATGCTAATCATATTATAATCAAACTGCAGAAAACCAATGACAAAGAGAAAGTCTTGAAAGATGCTGGGGATAATGATTATTGTAGACTTCTCACTTGAAACTATGAAAGAAACAACTGAATGGGGAAAAAAAATTTAAAGTACTTAAAACTAATTTAAAACCACCAATATAAACTTCTAGGTACAGCAATATTCTCTTTAGGAGAAATAAAGATTTTCTCAGACAAAACACTAAGATTATGGCATACGGTCTTCATGGCAAATAGATGGGGAAACAATGGAAAGAGTGAAAGATTTTATTTCCTTGGACTCCAAAATCACTGCGGACAGTCACTGCATTCATGAAATTAAAAGACATTTGCTTCTTGGAAGAAACAAAACTATGACAAAAATAGACATTATTTTTAAAAGCAGAGCCAAAATACTTTGCCAAGAAAGGTCTATATAGTCAAAGCTATGGTTTTTCCAGCAGTCACACATGGATGTGAGAGCTGGACCATAAAGAAGGCTGAACACCGAATAATTGTTTCTTTTGAACTGTGGCATTGGAAGAGACCTTTGAGAGTCCCTTGCACTGCTTATTGCCAAATTCAGACTTAAACTGAAGAAAGTAGGGATAACCACTAGACCATTGAGGTATGACCTAAATCAAATCCCTTATGACTATACAGTGGAAGAGAGAAATAGATTTAAGGGACTAGATCTGATAGAGAGCCTGATGAACTATGGACAGAGTTTGTGACATTGCATAGGAGACAGGGATCAAGACCATTCCCATGGAAAAGAAATGCAAAAAGGCAAAATGGCTGTCTGAGGAGACCTTACAAATAGCTGTGAAATGAAGAGAAGCAAAAAAGCAAAGGAGAAAAGGAAAGATATTCCCATTTGAATGCAGAGTTCCAAAGAATAGCACGGAGACATAAGAAAGCCTTCCTCAGCAATCAATGCAAAGAAATAGAGGAAAACAACAGAATGGGGAAGACAAGAGATCTCTTCAAGAAAATTAGAGATACCAAGGGAACATTTCATGCAAAAATGGGCTCAATAAAGGACAGAAATAGTATGGACCTAACAGAAGCAGAAGATATTAAGAAGAGGTGGCAAGAATACACAGAAGAACTGTACAAAAAAGATCTTCATGACCCAGATAATCA